ACGCGGAGGAGGCGGACGCCCCCTTCCGTCAGCCACCGCACGAAGCGGTCGTCCGCGGCGTCGGTCAGGAGGAAGCAGGTGCGGAGCTGCAGGGCGGCGAGGAAGCCGTAATGCCGCGGCTCCGGCAGCCCGCAGCGGAAGATGCCCTCCTCCACGTACGCGAAGTTTGGCGGGGCGATGCGCATGATCCACGAGCCCGGCGCGCGAGAAACGAGAACCGCCCCCTCAAGGAACCCGACGGGGATGGAATAAAAGGATAGATATTTCGATGTCAGGAAAAAGAATGAAGGGAAAAAAAAAAGAAGAGCTGCGGGAAAGAGTGCGGGGAATCGATTGTATAGGTTCCCCTGATGCTTTCGTGTGTGTACGGGAACGATTCCCTGTTTACGGTCTAAGATAGTCAACAAAAGGGAAAGATTCGTGTTCGCTAAGGACAACAAAGGTGATGCAGGTGAATGAATAATCATTAGAAAACAAAGCATAAGTGGATGTTCTTCTACCCCCCCCCCTTCTTCCTAAAAATCTTTCAATCTTTCTGCGCAACCAACCGGACGGCTTCACCCGCACTTGATGGTGCCTCAACTTGACGCCTGCACGGATCCACTCACCTCCTTTACCTGTCAAAAGATCAACAGCATAGATAACTACATCAATATCGTTATAGATATGATGGCAATTCAACATGGAAGAACCCTCGAAACGGAAAATTCCTTAAAAAGGAGATCGACTCGAGCCGAACTCCCTTTGCCTCCCCGTCTTCAGCGACGCGTACGGATCGCGCCCGCCGTCCGCGGCGACCTGCGTCTCGTGCTCATCCCTCTTCCGGCGAATGCGCTCGTAGCTCGCCTGAATCGCACAAAGTGAAAGCGAGGTCTTGAAATCCGTCTTGAGCTTTTCGATCAACTTCACCATGAACTCATCGTCGTCGTAGATGCTATCTGTGAGCACGCGCATATCCCGCGCCGCCCCGCCGTGCTGCCGGAGGTAATTCATATACTCCGTATCCGTGCACAGCTCGCGCTGGATCGCTAAGAGCCACTGGTGATCGCAGCAGGCCTGCAGCATCTCGTGGTAGGTTTGCGGATCGAACATCCGGCCGCACGCCGTTCGGATCGTCGAGTGGAGGCCGGCGCTCGTCTGGAGGTGATGCCCGCGGCGTAGCTCCCAGCCTTTGCCGTCGTCGCCGCCAATCGGCATCTGCCCGGAAACCACCGCTCGCCGCTGTAGCACGAGATTCACGAGCCGCCCGGTCGAATCCTCGCGCCGCAGGCAGAAATGCACAACCCGTTTCATCGCACGCTTTCCAGAATTAAAGGCGGCGGCAAGGAGATGTATCTTCCTGTGGGATGCGAATAATCCTCGTGGCTTGTTTGTTTCCTCCCTAGAGTCCAATAAGATTTGAAAAAGCTAAGGAAAAAGGTCGGCATTAATCCTCCCGCATGTACACACTCATTGGAATGCATGCGACCCACGTCCACCAATCGAATCCTTTTCAAGATGTAAAAATATAACACTCCTGCTGCTTTCCCTTCTGAATAGTTTCATTCCCTTGTTTAAGAGCAAAAAAACATACAAAAGTAAAGAATCTACCTCCTATCCCTGAGACATCCAATTTCACCATATTCCGTGCATTGTTACTCTATGCCTAAAATGTATCGACGTGTGTTCAGCTTTCAGGGTGTGCACGAGCATGTTTTGAATGCGGAAATTACCGCATGGGCGATAATAAATCATTGGCAATGCCATCAGCCTTCTGGCCTGCCTTTTTTCACTATTATTCCTCTATTTACCGATTTTCACTACCCCCACTTCTCCTCCGATACACGCCTCTACCATGTTTTTCATCCCATGCTCTTCGCCACAGCGTGGTATACCTCATGGAGGCTCTTTGGAATTCCCGATGGTACCTGATCACCTGAAATGCCGCGCCCTTGCGATGATGCGTAATTGCTGCCAGCCGCTTGCGAGCGCTCGAAGTTCTGCTGCCGTATCTTATCCCGGTGCGCTTTCCAGGCGGCATTGTTTTCTTCCCTTTCTTTGTAACCCTTCATAAAACCGTACCAGGCGACCATGATATAGGTAAAATTGCGGAACTGGTGAAGGGTCTTCGGGAAGGCTTTGGGGGCTACTGACGACATCGATAATCAACGTTAATCGACGAGCCAAGGATTGGTGTATGTGGGAAATAAAAAAATACTATAATTGCAACCCGATCGATAAGAATGAACCTGGCAAAGAAGCGTAAAGGAAAACCTTCAGAGGGAGCGAAAAGAAAACAAATAATGGAAACAAGATGGAGAAAGGAAAGATGGAGAAAGGTCTCCGTGTTACGCAAAAAAAGCCCACACGACTATGCCCAAAGAGACCTCCCTACGAAAAAGAGCACCCCTTTTGCTCACTCGGAAAGGTGTAACTGAGAAGCAATGGGGAATATCCCGAATCCCTCAATTGTTGTATCAGTATTTTTTGATGTACAAGCATTAATAGATCAGAAGAAGGCAAAGCGCATCCCGTGAAAGTCTTCGTGAAGCACAGCAATACAAGCCCTATTTTTCAGATTCGTCAGAAGATACGAAACCATAGGAGGGCGGTGGAGGCAGGCGACGCGAGCCAAGAGGAATCTCAATTTCGGCTTGATTCTCACAATACCCCATGAAATTACCTCTCGTAATCAAGTTGATGCAGGCCACGCCAAAGATGCAAAGAATTAACGATTTAACGGCGCCAGACCAGCGGGTGTTGCTCCTGTGATTGCCGAACCACGAATCCGCTGCGCCGCCATGAGAAGCCATACTTCGGCAAACCCATCCAGAACGCAACATCCGCGCAAATCCGAATAGCGGCAACGATAACAGGGACCAAGGAGCGAGTAATTTTATATTATTCTGAGCAAATCCTAACGGGAAAGGAAAATCAAGGTAATGCCGTGGTGGCAAAATACAATGAATTCTTTACCTTATCAGGTCTTATGAACAAAACAAAAAACATCGAATGGAAAGGAAACCAAACGTCAACCCATCATATTGAGCAATATTAACACCGACCTTCTGTGACGCGATTTGAAAATTTAAAAAAGTATCCATATGAGGGACCACAGTGAATGTGAGATCAGACGATCTTTCATTTGAAAGTGGGAAGTGGGAAGTGGGAAGATATTCTTGTACATTCATGAACCAACAACAAATGCACCACAAAATGAACATGAGGCAGTGAGCTAAAGAAAGAAAACGATCTATGGTATCGTAATGATGAAAATGAATAAACAAACACTAACGATAATAATAATAATAAACATCATGCACCACATTTTTGTCTTTACGTCGTAAGAGCTCGTCTCAGCTAAACTTAAAGTGGTGCTCGCACATACGGTTGTGCTTGAGCTTAATGGCGGGCCCATAGGCGTCTAAAGGAAGGGGTGGCTTCGGCGACCGCGGCCGGGTGAGCTGCGGGAGATTCTCCTCGATCACGTGAAACGTCCGCCCGAAGTGGTGCCGGAAAGAAGGGAGGTGCCCGGTATACCCCACCACATGTCGAAGATACGGCTCCCGCGCCGCGCGTTCATCCCTGCCGCGCAGCCACTCATCCCGCCGATCCTTCTCCTCGTAGTGCTCGAAGAGGCGATCGCGAGGGGTGGCCCCCGAGGGCAACGGCGGGGCCGCGCTGGG